TATATATATGTATATATATATTATGCTAAGTGAAGGAAGAGGCCAAACCCAGAGGCTTCATATTTTATGATTCTATTTGTGTAAAATGTCTGGATTGCACAAGCGTATGGAGCAGGAAGATGAATGGTTGCCTGGGGCTGGGAATGAGGTGAACATGGAGATAGAATGGTGGCTGACCTGAAAAATGGAGAGAGGAATGTTCTGGAACAGCAGATGCTACCTCACACCCACTAGGATAGCTTCTTTCCCAAAACAAACAAGAAAATAACATGTATTTGTGAGTGTGATGGTTGTCACCCAACTCTGTGAATACATAAAAACAAAAAGCAAATACTTTGGATGAGTGCATGGTACAGCTTGTGTTTCAATAAAGCTGTTGGGAAAAAGTGAAATTAGTTAGTGTCCTAGTGAAAACCCTTCAGTCTTTCTTATCATGCCAGATTAAATGCCACTTGCCTCATAGTGGAAAAGGTCAGGACTGGAGAGGCAGCTCAGCTGGTAGAGTGCTTGCCTGGCATGCGTGAAATCTTGGGTTCAATCCCCAGTACCACATAAAACAGGCCTGTAACCCTAGCATTAGGGAGGTGGAAACAGGAAGATCAGAAATTCAAGGTCATCTTCAGCTATATAGCAAGTTCACGGGTAGCCTGGGCTACATGAAGCCCTGTAACAAAAAAAAGAAATTATCTGCATCTCTTGCAGAAGACCCTTGTTTGTTTCCCAGTACCTATGTCAGGCAGCTCACAACTGCTTGTGTCTGCAGTTCCAGAGAACCTGATGCCCTCTTCTGGCTTCCACAGGTACTCCATGCATGTGGTACATATGCAAACAAGCCTACACACATACTTTACTCATAAGTAAAAATAAATTTAAAATCTCTTTTTAAAGCCGGCCGTGGTGACGCACACCTTTAATTCCAGCACTCAGGAAGCAGAGGCAGGCAGATCTCTGTGAGTTCAAGGCCAGCCTGGTCTACATAGTGCATTCCAGGCCAGCTGGGGCTACAGGGAGACCCTGTCAAAAAAAAAAATGTTTTTAAAACAGGAATGGTGTGATGGTTCAGGGGTTAAGAGCACTAGCTGCTCTTACAGAAGACCTATGTTTGGTTCCCAGTACCCATGTGGCAGCTAACAACTGTAATTACAGTTCCAGGGGAATCTGATGCTCACTTCTGGCCTCTATGGACATTGCACGACATGGGTGCACTTATATACATACAGGCAAAACATTCATACACAGGAAAAAAAGAAGTCAAAGTGTAAACAAACAAAAAAGAAAAAAGTCCTGCACTCCTGCAGATCTTCCTGTTGATTCAACTCAGCCTCACCAGCCTCAGCTTAGGGACACAGGCCACACCCCTGTGTTACAGCACCTCCCCTTCTCCTCTTCCTCCTCCTCCTCCTTCAGATTTTTCGGATTTTCAAACTGGTGATTGAACCTGGTGCCTCAGGCATGCTAGGCAAACACTCTACCACTGAGCTTCATCCCCTGCCTTCTTTTTACTTTTAAGACAGCTCTAAGATGTGCAGACTGAACTAGAACTCACTCTGTCTGCCCAGAAATTGCCTTGAAATTGCAATCTTCCCACTTCTGCCACTAGGGTGGTGGAATTATATGTCTAAGCCAATAGGCCCAACTTTAGAAAAAATATTCTTGGCTGAGATCTGAATATGTAGAAAGAAGATTTGATCCATTTAATACACTGGTTTCAGGTCTCACATCTCACACTCATGACTCTCTAGCAGTGCTTCCACTCCTATTATATCCCAGGAAAGGGAGGTGAGGGCCACAGACAGAGGCTAACCTAGGCACATGCTCAATAAACTTCCACTGGATTGAGGAGGAGGGAAAAGGTCCGGTGAGTAAGAGAAGGGGCTGAGATGAAGCTAATCCTTTCTTCAGAAACCGCCTGTCTGGGGACTAGAGAGATGATGACTCAGTGGTCAAGAGCACTGACTGCTCTTGCAGAAAACCTGGGTTCAAATCCAAACACCCATATAGCAGCTAACAATTGTCCATACCTCCAGTTCCATGGGACCCAATGCCCTCTTCTGTGCTCTGAGGGCCTAGTACTCAAACACATAAAATAAAAATAAAAATAAAAAAAAGAAACCTCTGTCTGGCCAGGCAAGGTGGTACAGAGCTGTTATCCCAGCACCTCAGTGGCTGAGGTTCCAGGATCAAGAATTCAACACCAGCCTGGGTTCTACAGTGAAACCCAGTATAAAAATCAAACAAGAGCCAGGCGTGATGGGCGCATGCCTTTAATCCCAGCACTTGGGAGGCAGAGGCAGGCGGATCTCTGTGAGTTCAAGGCCAGCCTGGTCTACATACTAAGTTCCAGGACAGCTGGGGCTACAGGGAGACCCTGTCTCAAAAAGACCAAAAAAAAAAAAAAAAATCAAACAAGAAACAACACCCCCCCACCCCCCCGCCTCCCCGCAGCCTCCCTCAGGGCTGTTCTCCTGACTGCTCCTGCGCCCCTGTGGTGCTTCAGGGAATTAGAAATGGGAAGAGCATGGCGTGTACGGCGGGCTGTAGCACTTTGGGTGGGTGGGTGGGCTGGGGACCATGGCACCTCTGCGGGGTGTCAGTTAGTCCCTGGAGGTCCCGCTTGCTCTAGGCTGGTGGAAGGTGAGGTACCCCTCCTCGGCCTGGTGCACACCAGGGTCCTGGGGTCGGTCCCTCCAGCACTCCAGGGTTTGGAAAGCCAGTTCTCGGACTCAGCCTGGAGCAGCTGGAAAACCCGGGATGGAGCTGGAGCCACCCGAGAGCACTTCTCCCAGCGCGGATGGGGGTGAGGGGTAGTTCTATCCTCCTACTGTTCGCTCCTCCCCCTGATCCCGCGCACCCCAGCTCACCCTCCAGAAGCTCCGCAGAGTTCCCTTGGGGCGCTGCAGCGGCCGAAGCCGAAGGAGCTGCGCGCTAGTCAGGACCCGGACGGCTGCGGCAGGCTGGGCAGCCTGGGCTTCGGCAGTACTATGAATGGCTCGGGCATCCCGGAGGCCAAGGACACCAGCCCCGAGGGCGCTGGGGAAGGCTGGCAGCCCGAGGCGGTCCTCGTTCCCCTGCTCTTCTCGCTCATCTTCCTCGTGGGCACCGTGGGCAACGCGCTGGTGCTGGCGGTGCTACTGCGCGGAGGCCAGGCGGTCAGCACCACCAACCTGTTCATCCTCAATCTGGGCGTGGCCGACCTATGTTTCATAGTGTGCTGCGTGCCTTTCCAGGCCACCATCTACACCCTGGACGGCTGGGTGTTCGGCTGGCTTCTCTGCAAAGCCGTGCATTTTCTCATCTTCCTCACCATGCACGCCAGCAGCTTCACGCTGGCCGCTGTCTCCCTGGACAGGTAAGCAAGCGCCCTGGAGTCGGGTACCCAGGTAGGGTCTGGAGAGGAAACCACAAGGAGGGTTGCACAGAATGGGAGAGGACGCTAAGAACGCAAAAGGACAAGAGGAACGGGATTAAGAGTAGGTGACTAGGTGACCCTCAGTTAGGTCGGTCCTCCATATTATCATCACTGGAGCTTAATGCCCTGTGAGGCAGGGATGGAGTGCTTAATTTACACAAGAGATCTAACTTGTGAGTAACTTGCTCGGAGTAGTCAGACGTAATCCAGTGCGAGAAGCCAAGCATCTGTCTCTTGGCGCCAAGCGCAGGCGCCTGGAGCGTGCTGCGCTGTCTGGGGCTTTAGACTTGGGTCTGGACCTGTGAAATTGGTCGGCTTTGGGAGGATCAAAGGAGGACCATGGAGGACCCCATGCTGAAGAGTCCCTAGCTCAGTCCCGGCTGGCCGCACATCCTGCACCGGGACGAGAGGGGCAAGTTGTCTGATTCTCTCTCCCCTAGCAAAAGGACAGTGAAAGAGACACTTTCCAGAACTCAGTACTCCCAGGGATCTTAGCTAGCAAACCCTAAGTGATCCTGGGAGGAAATCCCAGTCCTCTCCCTGTTCTCTGGACCCTTCCTCCTCCCCGGGAAGGGGAGGCCACACTCTTTTCTCCTCCCGTGTCCACTGAGCTCCTCGGTTCTGCTGCTGCACAGAGCCTCACCTTCCTTAAGGAATTTCCTCCCTGTAACTCGACCCGTGTCTTCTCCAGGCTGCCTGTTAGAGCGTCAGGCACCAGGGTTCTACCTTCCCTGGTACCGTTACTAGTGGATAATCACTGCTTCCCGGAGCCCCCACCGATTTGTCTTCAGTGGCCTTGGGGGTGGCCCCTCGCGTGGGGTATGTCAGTGGACACATTCCTGGGGACAACAGAAAAATGGCCAGATAGGTGCGCATCATCCCTGCTGCCAGGTCCTGTTCCAATTCAATTCTAGAGTTGGAAGCACTGGACCTGCCCTACAGGCATGGGTGGGGTAGGGATGGCCTGTTAGGGACCTTCCTTGACAGCTAGTGCAGGGTTGGCGGTGCAGTAGTGACCTAGCTGTGATGAATCTCCCGCTCACCCGATGTGCCCCGCCCGCCCCCGCCCCCGCCCCCCCAGGTATCTGGCCATCCGCTACCCGCTGCACTCGCGCGAGCTGCGCACGCCTCGAAACGCGCTGGTAGCCATCGGGCTCATCTGGGGGCTGGCTCTGCTCTTCTCCGGGCCCTACCTGAGCTACTACCGTCAGTCGCAGCTGGCCAACCTGACTGTGTGCCACCCCGCGTGGAGCGCACCTCGCCGGCGCGCCATGGACCTCTGCACCTTCGTCTTCAGCTACCTGTTGCCGGTGCTGGTTCTCTGCCTGACCTATGCGCGCACCCTGCACTACCTCTGGCACGCGGTCGACCCAGTGGCTGCGGGCTCAGGTGCCCAGCGCGCCAAGCGCAAGGTGACGCGTATGATCGTCATTGTGGCCGCGCTCTTCTGCCTCTGTTGGATGCCCCACCATGCGCTTATCCTCTGCGTGTGGTTTGGCCGCTTCCCACTCACACGCGCCACTTATGCATTGCGCATCCTTTCGCACCTGGTTTCCTATGCCAACTCCTGTGTCAACCCCATCGTTTATGCGTTGGTCTCCAAGCATTTCCGCAAGGGTTTCCACAAAATCTGCGCAGGTCTGCTGTGCCGCGCCCCAAGACGAGCGTCTGGCCGTGTGTGCGTCCTGGCACCGGGCACCCACACTGGCAGCGTGTTGGAACGCGAGTCCACAGACCTGACTCATGTGAACGAGGCAGCCGGGCCCCTTGTCCCTGCACCCGCACTTCCCAACCTGGTGTGTTAAAGAAGCAGAGGGACTAGCCGGGTGTGGTGGCGCACGCTTTCAGTTCCAGTACTTGGGAGACAGAGGCAGGCAGATCTCTGTGAGTTCAAGGCCAGTCTGGTCTACATAATGAGTTCCAGGCCAGCTGGGGCTACAGGGAAACCCTGTCTCAAAAAGACCAAAAAAAAAAAAAAAAAAAAAAAAATCAGAGGGCCTGACAGCACCCTGACAGTGTGACCTGAGGACACCCAGGGGTGATGCTCTGATGTTAACCAGTTACAGCCAGATAATTTCCCAGAGAAAAATTTCCCTGTTAATAAGAAGCACAAATTACCAGACTGATGGCATATGCCTGTAATCCCAGAATTTGAGAAATGGAGGCAGGAGAACCAGGAGCAAGGCCAACCATGGAGTTTGAGATCCAATCTCAATAATAATAAAATAATAATAATAATAATAATAATAAATAATAATAATAATACATAACAAACCATTTGCACTGTGTCCTGGGATTTCTCAGTCTCCGAGCCCTAAGTCCTGGGGTAAGATGTCTTTATAGAAGGGGATTCTGCTACATGGATGCAGGGTGATTTGTTGGGCTACCAAAAAACAGCAAGCAACAGAGAGAGCAACTAGGTTAACATAAACATATCTGAATGGAGCCAGGAGTCCAGCAACTTCTTACATGTGGCCATCTAGAGGCACCGATTAGTTGTAAACACATCACTAAACCATTAGCCAATTTGAGTGACAGATAAGCAATGTATTTAAGAGAATTGAAGTTGACTGAATAGAAATGGTACTACTTGTGTTCCTGGTTCATTCATACACAAGTACATGAAAGTTCCCCAGGGCTTCTCTAAATCTGGGCAGTCTGATCAGTGTCTCACTTTTAGCCTTCGAATTTCCTTCCCTAGTTGTGGCTGGGGAGGATAGGGGCTCCTGCATTTCAATTTTTTTTTTTTTTTTTTGGTCTTTTTGAGACAGGATCTCCCTGTAGCCCCAGCTGTCCTGGAACTCGCTATGCAGACCAGGCTGGCCTCAAACTCACAGAGATCCGACCGCCTCTGCCTCCTGAGTGCTGGGATTAAAGGCATGCACCACCACACCTGGCTCAGTTTCTTCTTTTAAAAAAATATTTTTGTGTGCATGTATGAGCGTATTGCCTGCCTGCATGTAGGTACACCCATGTCATGCAATGCCCTCAGAGGTCAGAAGAGGGCGTCGAATTCCCCTGGAACTGGAGTTACTGTTGGTTGTTAGCCACCAGGTAGGTGCTGGAAATCAAACCCAAGTCCTCTGCGAGAGCAACCAGTGCTCTTAATCGCTGAGCCATCTCTCCTGCCCCAGCATTTCAATTTCTGAGGCATGCTAATTCAATGAGAGAGCAGGGATGTCCCAGGATCTCACTGATAAACTGGTCTCTACCTGTCCAAGCTAGGCACACTCCCAGAGCTCTTGATCAAGGCACTTTTTACACAGATCAGCATTTAAGGAAAGGCAAGAACAGAGGTCCTGATCCTATTTCATCGAGTGGACACGCTGTGGCTAAAGGCTTGGATGCTTAGCTAGGTTATCGATAGGCACTGAAACAGAAGCCTGTGCCCCAAACCCTGATTAAAAGGACCATGTAGGAGAGGGATGGAAGCCCTATGGCTACCCTAGCCCCCTTCAACTTTCAGTAGGGCAATGGGTTCCAGGTAGTGGAAATGGAGCAGGACAGAACAAGAAGGCAGAAGCAGTGGGTGGAGCCGAGTCCTGAGCTTCGTGTTTGAGTGTTTACAGAACTGGGTGGAAGAGGGGGTGCTTGGACCAGGACCTGAGTCCTTACACAGAACAGCTGCCTGTCCAGTGGCTCAGTCCCCCAAAGAAATGGGGCTGAAATAGAGATTGTAGTTTAGGCTCTGCTGCTCTACACAGCCTGTATAGGAAGATATTGGTGATGGCTCTATGGATCCTGTTCCATTTGGTCTTCCTCTAGCTCAGCACCACCCAGTTGGTCCCAGAGTCTAGCTCCCACAAATCAGCAGTTTGTAGGTAGGCAGCTTAGGGCTATAGCTTTAGGATTTGGTGCTCGGGATAACTTTGACCTCATCCTTCAGTCTGGCTATCCTTTGATCTCAATTCCTTCCCAAGTTTCAAGCCATCAAGATTCTGAAAAATGGGAGCACACCATTGCTAGCGAGCATTATGAACGTACAGGCATTCATATCCAATGTGGTGCTTCAAGGCTGTAGGAGGGCACAGACCAAGTGCCAAACTAGGAGGGGAGCAGGACTTAGCCTTGGCTAGTACAGGGGTCTCTTACTGCCTGTCCCACAGTAGCCAACCCAAGCTGATGTTGCTGTCCTCCCCTAGGACATCCTGTAGTACACAGGCTCCTCTGTGCTGATGCTAAGGCTGGGGAGCTACATTGGGAGAGGCACGGTGGGAACACATTCCAAAGCATCAACCTTCATCAACAGGCTGAGTTAAAGGACACATATATGTAGAGATGAGGCCTCAGTGGAGTCCTTGTGTCTCCAATCCTGGCTGGATGCTCACTCAGCCTGGAATGGCAGTGTGTATCCCTGGCATGCAGTCATGCTGCCCTGGGATTCACTCTGGACAGACTCACCATGTGCGAAGTGTGAGGCAGGAATTCCAGGTGCCTACCATGCACATCCCTCCTCCCTTTCCCATTTAGAACCTAGAGGCCTTCTTAAGGAGTATTCCCCTCCTGGTAGCTACCACTGCTGCATGCAGGAATATCTTTCCAGGAACCCAGAGGGTTGGCAGAACTGGGGGAGGGGTTTTCCTCATCTCAGTACAAGAACAGGCTGGGATCTAGCCATGGTGCTTCTCCTTATAGGCTATGGGTGGACCGGAAGGACCAGGACCCACAGGCCCAAGTGGACCAGGATGGCCATGTGGAGTCTACCTGGCCCTCGTCACAGAGACCAATTGCGACTGAGCTCCTCCGCTTTCTCAGGGACCACAGCTACTGCAGTCAGGGTTTCTGCACTTTCAGCAATACTGGTGCTGACAGACCTTGGGGTTGGAAACTGGGTGGGATGAAAGAGGAAGCTGATCTCTAGCAGTCAGACACAGGGCTCTGGGCCTCTGTCAGACCAGGCCCCTCTACCCTGTCCTAGCCTTAGGGTGGATGGAGCCCACAGCAGGACCTACTCTGTACCTCCCACTGCCACAGCAGCCCAACTCCAGTTTTCTCCGGCCTATCACCACCCTCCTCCTGGGTCAAAGTTCCAAACAGATACCACAACTGCCCCATGATCCCTGGGTCTCCTGTCACTTCTGTCTTTTCTCCCCAGGGCAACCACACTCCACAACTAGGGCCAAGCTGCACTGGCTCAGCCAGCTGTACCAAACCCAGAGGCTCAGGTTGCTGTGGACTCATTCCTGAAGGAACTGAAGGGGAGGACGCTCAGTACGCACCCCAAAGACCCATCAGATGTCAAGCCAGCAAAGTACGCTATGAAAGCCCATGGCCCTAAAGTTTTCAGGTGTCTGACGGTGGACAGGAGATGAAGCTGCCATCACATTCCTGCTCTGAAGTGGAGCAAAGTACATTTATTTTCACACTGAAGATTCATCTCTGAATCTGAGAAGGCCCATCTTTTAACTGGAAGCCATCCGAGTTGCTTCCAAAGCTAGGGAAACCTCATGGATCAGTTTTACCTCCAGTCTGCCCCCAGAGTCTGCAGTTGCTGTTTACTTGTCCCTACCCTAGAGGGATCTGAGGGTGGCCTCTCTTCCTAGTTCACCCTTTGCATTCCTACCCTTTTTCAATGACAGAACTAGAGTTCCAGGCCCATGTGGTGAATGAGATCGTGTCAAGAGAGAATACATGGTTCACGGTTTAAAAGCCTGGGTCCCACCTAAGCATCTTGTGCTCTGCTTCCAGGTGACAGTGAGTCAAATTGGGAAGAGGCTGGCAGAGACGGATGGAGAGACGGGGAATCATACAGACCCAGAGCCCTAACACTATCCTCCTGCTCCCTGCACATCCCAGAAGTGCCAGACTTTCCTTGTAGCTGAGCCTAGGAAACACAGCACTGAAGTCCACCCTGGTGTTCCTGGTTCCTGGGGAGGCACTGCTGTTAGCTGATGTATATGCAAGTTTGTTGCCCTTCTGGACCATTGCCTACAAGGTGACACTGCTGCTGGCTACCTTGTCTTCTACTCCTCCTTCCTGGGGCAGGCCCTGTCCAGCTCCTCTTCCTGCAATCCACTGCTCAGTAAGACCTGTTCTCTCCCTTGGCCCTGCACCTGCTACTGCCTGAGCCTCCGCCAGTCAGGCCTAGCCCATGACATCTCCTCTCCTCTGTAGTTTACTTCTTTAGAGCTGCTGCTCTTCCTCAGCACCACGGAGGCTGTGCTGGTGGCCAGGTTGCTGGCTAGAGACAGCCTTGGGGACAAGAGCAGCCCAAACCCCTGGGAACAGAATGATCAGAGCCCAGGGCCTAATCTTGAAGGTGGGTGAGGGCTAAAGCCCATTCTGGGCATGGAGGGTCATGGGGAAGGAGGCATCAGAGGAGCTTTAACAGAGCAGAACTCATAAGCTGTACATCTGTGGTTGGTCAGATTTGGGGTGTCTGGGGTGCTGTGAGATCTCTACATTTACTCCACTGGCTCTACTCTACTTTCTGTGGGCCTCACCGCGTGCTCCCCAGGTAGAGGCAGGTTTGGTCAGAGCAGGAACTCAGCTTAGTCTCCATAAAGGCCTAGGTGACCTCAGGCCCCTGAGATAAGCCTCATGCCTTGCAGGGTTCTTGAAGAGGGTGTTTCTTCCACCGGAGGTGGCTTAGGATGGACCAGACCCAAACTTTAATTAGATGAGAATCTAAGTAAGGAAGACTGGGCTGAGAACCCCTGGGGTTCACCCTTTTGCTCTGGGAGAGCATGCTGAAAGAGTCGAGGACCAGCTGCTTTCGCTCTCTCTCCTGGCTGGCAGCCTCGGGGGGAGGAAAGAGGTCAAGGAGGAGCTGGGCTGAAGCTGCTGACCACACATTCTTCCGTGTGTATGGTTCCAGTGTGATGTGCAGCCAGCTCATCTTCACTGGAGTCTGGATTTGGGGAACATGCAAGCCCGACCCAGCCCTGGGCAAGGTTACAACATGGCAGGGCTCAGGGTTGCAGACTTGAGGATGCATCATGAGTTTGTTCCCACAGCAAGGCTGAGCGTTAGGACAGCATCTTCAGAGACAGAAGGAGGGTCAGCTCTATTCTCTACCTCTGGAAGGCCCAATGCGCTGAGCTCTCTTCTGTGTGCAGTGTGAAATAAACCATGGCCCAAGGGTACCTTCAAGATCTGTCTGCCTTGAACTCAGCTGTTTACTGTCATCCCAGGGAGGCAGGGCCCAACTTTATACCTGTGATCCCCCTTGCTCCCAGTCGCTCTCCTTCCACTACCAATTTTCTGTCCCACAAGCATGCAGCCCAAAGCACTTTCTGCAACCACTGCTGCCTGGCCTTGGAGGCACTATAGGTGGGGATCAGGAACTCCTTTCCCAGGCACTTCCTGTGGTGTGCTGGATCCAGAAGGGACCTGAGGTAGAGCACTCCTGCCTCCTGACACTTAGGGGACTCCCAGGAAGCAGAACCCGCCCCCCCCCCCCGAGCTTAGAACTGTGGGTAACGTACTAAATCTAAAAGACTAGGTCAACCCCAACACTGCTTTCTCTCTACATCTGCAGGCTGCAGTTTGGCCTGTTTCTCTGAGCCCCCTCACGTTGCGGGCTGAAGAGGAGTGCTTCACCCTCAGGATGGACTAGGCCAGGGTAGCTCCACCTTCTGCTCTTGTGTTTGCTCGGCAGTGGGGCACCAGTCTGTCTTCTCTCTCTGCTGTGGGCCCTGCTGACTGCACTCCGTCTCAAAACCCAAGCTGTGCGAGGACCCCACACTCTAGGAGTGCTGTTTTGACAAGGATGTAAGCAGCAGGGGGATACAAATCCCAGGACTAGAGTGCTTGGGGCAGGGCCCCAGGGTGGGGCAGGGAAGAAAGGTCTGTGTCCTAAAGGACTTCAAACTCACCCGGCCCAGAGATATGTTAACACTGGTTTATCAGTTCAATGACATGTTAGTCTGGTGGAACTAGGCAGGGACGCTGGCAGGCTTAGGCAGAAGTGTCAAAAAGGCGATCGATCATGTCGCCCACCTGCTCCACACGGTACTTGATGTACTTCTCAGGGTTCTTGGTGAAGGGCACGCTGCTGTACCTGATCAGGTACCATGGTCAGGAGTCAGGGGGCGGGCCAGCTCCACCCTCAATCTTAAGGTGCCTCTGATAGGGTGTCAGAGATGGCCTGAATATGTCCCAAAGCCCATGGCAGCAAATGTGTTGCCAATCCTATCACCCTGAGAAGAGGAGAACATGGAGCACAGCTGAAGGTGGGCAATAGAGGGCCAGGAAGGAGGACAGGCTCACCTGTGCAGAAAGGCCCCGTAGGTGTCTTTGACAATGTTTTTCTGAGCTTGGCGAATCTTATCTCTCTGCTCTGTGTCTGGAATGGCCCAGGCCTTCTGGATCTTGCACAGTTCTTCAAGGCCATCATTGAAGCCCTGGCCAAACAGGTAGGAAGGGAAGGGACCAAGAGACAAACACTTTTGATCTATGTTGTCACAACAGTAGTAACAAGCAATAGAGGGGAGGACCCCAGCTCACCTTAAAACGTTCCTTGATCATCTGCCGCTCTTTGTCCCGGAGCTGGAGTCCAGAGAGTGGGAGTATGAGGAGGGTTGGCAGAGAAATCTTTGCTCAGACAGAGCAGGACCACCCTGCCCTGCTCCTGCTCCACACACCATGGGCCCCAGGCCTCTCCTGCCACACACATCTCTGATCCCAGAGGGACACTTGTCCATTTTTGTCCCAAGGTACAATAAGTATATCTGCTCAGTACCCCTTCCCAGGCCTTGGGCTCACCTTGACGCCAGGCTGGAATATGGGTAGACTCTTCTCTGCGATATAATCGGTCACCTTTAACCAGCTGTCAGGCAGCAGGGTGAGAGGACAGAGGGACAGTTTCAGACAGCTGCCTCTTCCCTGAAGTCAGCTTGCTTTGTTTTTAAACCTCACAGTCTATTTGAGGGTGGGGGCAGTAGGAATTGATCTGGTCAGGGCGAAGCAAATCAACAGAGATGTTCTTGGAAACGGAAAATGTCTCAGCTGCTCGCTTTGACAATTAAGAACAAAAAGCAGAGGGTGTTGGGTGAACTGAACAAACACTGCCAACCTCACTTCACATCAATACCGTGGCAAATTAAAATGGAGAAATAGATGGGAAAAGAGGGAGTCAGGAAAGAGACAGGCCAAGTAAATAAGGGGCCAGAGAAGCAGCAAGAGCCTTTCAAGTTCACAGCCTGTTCTCCTGAGCTAAATATTACTTGCACCTTTGACAATCAGCTCTCCAAACTACTCTTAGCCTTGACCCTGGAAACCCACTCTGAAGAGGCTCTGTGGCCCCTGAGGAGCAGATAGCAAGGGGGAGGGAGAGGGTGCTTCTCTCTCTACCCCATAAATGTGACTGAAAAAATAAAAGGCTAGGGGCAGAGCTCAGTGCCAGACCCCACACCCAGCATGAATAAGGCCTTGGGTCTGAGCTCCAGTACTAAAAATCAAAACAAAGAACCAAAACAGTTCATAAAAGCATGGAGGATTGCACCCACAGGACAATATTTGCTGACCCCGCTCTGATGAGGTGCTGAGAAGAGTAGGGTGGACCCAGGGGTGGGAAAAGCTGGGGCTCAGCAGGAGGGCTGACGACCGCTTACCTGCGCTGGTAGGTTTGGATCTGCTGCTCAATGTGCTCCCGGTAGGAGCGCTCAGCAGTCTTCTGGGTCACAGCCACCAGCTGGATCAGTTCAGATCTGGGTGTAGGTGGGAGAGAAGGTAAAGAAGAGAAAAGTTAGCCAGGTGTTGTGGCAGATGCCTTTAATCCCAGCACTCGGGAGGCAGAGGCAGGATCTCTGTGAGTTCAAGGCCAGCCTGGTCTACATAGTGAGTTCCAGGCCAGCTGGGGCTACAGGAGAGCCTGTTTCAAAATGAGAAAGAGAAGTAACTCCTGGGGCTCAGAGACTGCTGGCCTTGGCAGCAGCACCCAAAAGGAAGCCTCCCATCGCATCCTGAATCTCCCAAGCTTCTCTGAAGTAGCAGCCATCCCTGGGTTGCTGAATGAAAGTCAAAAACACATCAGACAAGGAAGTTGAAGATGGTGAAGCCAGTCCCTGGAGGGCAGAGGCTGGCACAGCTGTCCAGCCAAGGTGAGGCCACAGACCCATGCCCACAGCCACTTACTTTTCCAGGGACTTGAGGATGTAGTTGTAGTTGTTGTGTAGGAAGATGGCACTCAGCGCTGGGTCCTCGTACACTTTGGACTTGCTCAGCAAGTTCAGCTGCAGGTTGCCCAGGACTTTACCTGTGCAGAAAGATTGGATCACTTCCACCAAGTTGTCTGATCCAAATGATCCAACCACCAGGCCTGCTAACCAAGTCCTGCCAATCATTCCTGTCCTTTTGACTCCTAGGCCTCTGATACGCTTCCTCAACCCTTGGGCCCTGAACTGGAGCTTGGGTTACTATTCCAAGGTAAGGAGCGGGACCCAGAAGTAGATGTGCAGCACAGAAAGGTGAGGGAGGAAAGCACAGGCTCTCCTGGAGGTACTCACAGATATAGGTGCTCAGCAGGCGCTTGCTGAACTCGGAGCTGTAGCTGGTCGCTGAAGAACTGGTTTCTGAGAGGAGAAGTTCTGTTACTGTGGTGACAATGGCCAAGACCCCTGTGGCCCTTCCCACACCAAAGGGGCAGAGGGGAAAACACTGGGAGACTCTCGGAACTTCTGGGCAGTCTGGACTGAAGGAGGTGCTCAGCAGAGCTGGGCACCTGCTAAGCCTCAGGAAGCATGCTTTTGGACTCTTTCTGGATCCCAGGGCTGTCCCTGATATGGTTAAGGAGAGAGCCCAAGGCAGCAGAAGGCCAGCAGGGGGAGTGGGCTACCAGTCCTTCCCAACTTGGCCCCACATGATGGGTGGGCACATGCGAGACCTTTTACCTATTTTCTAACAGCAAACTCTCAGAATGGGCCCAGCCATTCCACCGCCTCCTGACTGCCCGCACCCCGACTACCAGGCTCTTTGGAACAGAGGGACCTGCTGACTACAGTGAAGAAGGCCAAGAGGGAGGGGCAAAGCTAGTGAGGGGTGTACCCAGGGTGCTGGACCTAGCAGGGTGCTACCTGGACAGACTGAGACAGCAGGGAGAGATGAGGGCCCCTCTGACCCTGCCTCCAATGGGTACCGAGCTGGTCCCCAGGGAACCTCACCCACTGGGCTTTGGAGGAGAGGATGAGGCTGCGGAGCCACACTGCTTACCTCGGGGGTCTAAAGGTATATTGTATGTGTCCCCAAGAACTACGAAGTGAAAGGCAGTGCACACAGAAGGGTGGAGGGAGACAGAGGAGGGAGAAAGATGCAAAGTGCAAAAAACAGGTTAGAAATGGCTGTCACCCCAAGCCAAGCAGACTTCTCCCCGCAACAGCCAGACACAGACAGCAACACGCACCAAGCCAAACTAACTCAAGACCAAAGAACACACTGGAAAGTGCAGGCCAAGAGAACTGGCAGCTCCTTGTCCCCAAGTAAGGGTAGAGAGGAGGGACTGGGGACCAGTGCTTGGAATGCCCAGGAGAGTACTCGTCCTTACATGCCAACTTCCCAGGCCCCAGTCCTATCAAGGGCACCTACAAGGCCAATTAACACAAGTAGACAGGAGAGGCAGTGGAGAAGCGTGGAAGGACGGCAGGCCAGGAAGAGCACCTCACACCAGCAGTGTCCACCCAAGAGTACTGATGGCTACAGGAGCAACCGAGGGGTTGGGGGTTTTAAGAATGTCAGCATGTCTCGTTCTTCTGGTGTTCACTCCTGACAAGCCCAGGGGCTTGGAGTTCCCCCCCCCCCCCACTCATGTCTCAGGCCCATTCCATGGGATGGGAGAGACCCCTCACCAAGCCCTGCCCTTACCCAGAGCAAGTCAGTGCCTCCTAGGGGCCTAACTGCATGTTCATAGGCAAGAGGGGGCAGCAGGGCACAGGCTGGCCCAGCAGGGATTCTGTGTACCTTGGGAGGCCAGCATGGCACCTGCTGTCTCCTGGAAGTCCAGAAGCTGCTGTAGGAAAAGGATGGCCTGGCAGAGAGAACACACCCAGGAGGACCAAGGTGAGGGCTCAGGGCAATGGCTTCCTCACACACACCCTTTCTGACCAGTAGGACAAATCCTGTACCAGGGACCTGACAACTGGAAACTTCAGGTGTCATCATTTGGGTTCTGGTTGCCTGAAAGTCCCTGTGTCCTGAAGACGCTAGCCCTTCACCATCTCTCTGCCATCAGTGACTGTTCATGAAGGTGACCAGCTCTGGGCTGGGGCCCCTCCACTGGTTTGTAGCCCCCACAGCCTGAATCGAAGCACCTTTTCTCCCACCACTTCAGCAGCCCTTGAGGAATACCTACGTTGCTTGTGAGCTCGTGAACGGTGCCATCCTTGGGCATGTTATATTCCTTGTCTGGATCATTCTGTGAAAAAAAAAAAAAAAGCTCCTGGTTTCCCGAAAGGGCTTCTGCCAGGAGCCCCTGGCCCACACTGAGCCCTAGTCAGCCTGTTTTGGTGACACTTCTTGGCATATGGGTGCTAGGATGTCCCTCAGCCTCAGGCTGATCAGACAAGGAACTTCAACCTCAGAGGGCTTCAATACTAAGGAGGAAAGAGAGGAAAGGGTCTCCATAGGGAACCAGGCCTGCTCTCTAAGAAGTCCCCAGAACTGGGTGATCAGTCTGGGCCTGGTGAAAGGAAAGGGGTTTGCAGGCACCTTGATATTGTCAGCAAAGTCTTCTAGTGCTTTGGCCCCGATGGTCTCCATGGAGGTGAT